ACATTCCACATGGAAGATGTTTGGCCAATTGCGGCCACATAAGAAGATATATTATGGATACAGCTGTGCAGGAGATTCACAATAGATGAATCAACATCAAAGTTTGCAAGTTTAAACGAAAACAGTCAGTGGTTGACTAAGTCAAAAGCTTTGTACAGATCACAATGTACTACATGAACCTGTCCTCTCTGAAAAATAAAAGATTTGCGTCATAAAACTAGCCAGATTTTTGGTAGTTGAGCGGCCAGGGAGAAACTTCTGTTGATTATAAATCAATGAATTACTCGATTTAACATATATAGGTTGTGAAGAGCCAGCTCAAGGATCTTTGACATGCCACAAAGTAAATAATTTGGGCGATAATAGGAACATCAGTTTTTCTGCCCTACCTAAATGCTGGGAAAACACGCACAGTTTTCTACATGCTGTAAAATGTGGAAGAATTGAGACAGTTGTCAAATATTTTAGTCAGTACTGGGGCAAACATACTACCAAAAGCCTTTAGTATGGGGGAAGGGATGCCATCTGGGTCAGACGATGAGGATGGTTTGAAGCACTTATTGCATGATCAGATGAGCTTTTCATTCAGCGATAGACCACTAGATGTGCGAACTGCCTTGGGCTGTTGTACTATCTGAGTCCTAGAGTCTGATGCCCTATAAATGGATGAAAAACGATTGGAAACACTTAGCGACGGCATGCACTTCGACACTGTCCGAATTAATTAGCCTGTAGGACTCCCCACATATGGTACACCGTATGCTTACATACTTACAAAACTCAGCTGGTCTGTCAGAAAGATGTTTTTCTAATAATGCAACATATAAACTGTGGTCCCGTTTACATAGGCGTTTAGAGAGAGCTGAGAAAATCTGCACTCTTCCTTCTACTTGCTGAATACAGAATACTTAGCCTTCTTGAGCGCGCGTATGTATGCTTCAGTGCACTTATAATTTCAGGGGAAAACCAGTGGAGGTATTTACTATGTTTAGGTGCATATTATGGTATAGACTAACACATGCTGTTCAATACAAGCTCCTTAAACTGCTCAACTTGTCCATAAACATCAGGTTTCTCAGTAATTTGGAACCAATCAACGGCTGACAAGTAATAATAAAAGCCTTGTAGCCCCCTCTCTTGAGAGTGAATCTTGGAGATTTCTTGAAATGACTGCTGTAGCTCGTATTCTTGGCACATGCAGATAATCTTACTTTAGGTTGTGGGTGGGAAATTGTGAGGATGAAGAAAAGAGAATCCAGAGCCTGAAACTTCAACGGGTTTATTGTTTGAAGGACAGAAATCCAAGACGTTGTCTTTGCAAGTGACAATTGTGTTATTTTGCAGTAGAGAATTAAACACCAGAATATATAAGAGCAGGCTGCACTTTTTCTCGATGAAGGGATCAGAAAAGGCAAGCGTGCTGCAGTCTATTCTACGCAGATTTAAGTCACCAAGAGCAATAATTTTGTGCCCACTGTGAGACGAAATCACATGCTCAATGGAAGACATGATATCATGAATTAAGCTAGGGAAATGTTGGTTGCTGTATTGGATCATCCCATCAACCTTTTTTTCTTGGCGTTCCAGGCCGATATTTCACCAGAGAGATATTTCGAAAGGTTTGAGATCTTTCCGTCTAACAGGTTTCACTGATTCATCGATGGCAATCAGCACGCCACCACCTTCCTGTTTGATTGCACTGAAATCGCGATCTCTGTGGAAGGTGGTGAAGGTCAGGGCGAAAAGCCAGATGAGAGAATTTCAAGGTACAGCCAAGTTTCAGAAATAAAAATAACAGGAAAATAAGACGAAAGAACATTAGCGAAAAACTCGTTTGTCTTGGTACGTGGAGCACGAGCAATCTGGTAGAGAATTTCCACGTTACACGCTGATTCTACACTTGGCACTAGCTCAGAGGGATGAAGCATGTAGTTGTTCAGCACCCACCGAAAGGCTTGTAGAGGCATCTCTGAAGCCGCATGCAAGGGTCATTCAAGGCCTGTAGAGTTATCTTGTCAACCTCGAAGTAAAAAGAATATGTCTAAAATTTAGTTTGAAGGCGCCGGAAAGAGATGAAAGACAGATACAATGAAGCAATATGTTTTGTGATGTCAGCAGCACTAGTGTCCGGGCTGCGATGTTGCCGGCAATGTTGCCACCCGCCGCAGCACACGTGCAGAAAGAACCGGGTTCTGAGCTGCCTTCCTGAACGCAGCAAGCCACAACTTCGTCTTCGCTAAGCTTAGTGCTAGCATAGCTTGGTTCACACAATTTGCAGCAAAAGGAGCGAGATCCAGACTTTCCAAGTTGCAGCTCTTCATCAGTTCACTTCACGATAACACGCTTTGAGCAACATTTATAGCTGAAAAACTGCTGCTTACCGAAAACCGGGCTGGAGCAGAACAAGCATGCATCCCGGCTTGGAGCCACATGGTACGGGACTATATAGTCCTGCATAATTTGGCGGTGATATAATCAAAATAATAATAATAATAATAATAATAATAATAATAATAATAATAATAATAATAATAATTTGAAATTCGGTGTTACGTGGCTTGAATAGACGACGAAGGTAAATGACACCCCCAAACAAGATAATCATGATATGCATATCATGTAAAACATGACTACATGCTACCCTGATAGCGTGCACTCGGTCGTTTTGCTAGCTCCACATATACCAACTTTGGTATTACGCGACGTGAAGGGAAGATGAAGATAAATGACACGTCTGAACATGATAAACATGGTATTTGTATTATGTAGAAATGACAATGCTACACTCATAGCGCGCTCACAGCCTTTTCACTAGCTCACGTGACGTGGAATGACAACAAAGGTAAATGACACGTCTAAACAAGATGAATTTGACATGCGTGTGATGTAAACCATGACTACATGCTACTCTCACAGCGTGCTCGAGGCTGTTTCACTAGCTCAACGTACACAGAAATTCCACCGGACTTACGTCACGAAAATGCGGTGGCGCTGTCTTGGTAGGCAAAAGACGCTCTGCCTACCGCAGTTTCTGCTGGGTTTTCAATGGTGCATGTGGTGTTATCAGTCAATCAACGAGAAGAAAACAACGGTATGCCGACGAATTGCGTCGTAGTTGGATGTGAGTCGCGTCTCACAACTTAGTTTTGTTTGTTTAGCGCACATCGTAGCCCCCAGCGCTTATGGCGGAAGTTACATGCAAACGTCGCTATAATTTTACCCATAATGTCGACATCGGCTTACCTGTGTTTACAAACATGGAATGGTTCTCTACCGATCTCGGTATCACGTGACGTGAATAGACGACGAAGGTAAATGGCACGTCTAACCATGATAATGATGATATGCCTGTCATGTAATACATGACTGCAAGCTACCCTGATAGCGTGCATGCGGCTGTTTCGCTAGCTCCACGTATACCGAATTTGGTATTACGTGACGTGAACGGACGACGAAGGTAAATGACGTGTCCAAACATAGAAATAATGCTATGCGTGTCATGTAAAACATGACTACATGCTACGCTTATAGAGTACTCGCCGCCATTTCATTAGCTCCACATGCACCGAACTTGGTATCAGGTGGCGTGAATAGACGGTGGAGGTAAATCACACGTCGAGACTTGATAATCATGATATGGAAGTCACGTATGGCATTATTTACGTCCGCCTCCCAACAGTGTGCTGAATTTAAAGTGACACACCAACCTTCCTCCTTCGCGCTTCGCATATCATAGATTCTTACTAAACGTGAAATCTGCCAATTATTGGCTTTGCAGTCTCAGTATATATTTTCAACATCACTTCCATGACGGAAGTTTGTCAACGGAGCCGTAGTGGGTCCCTGCATAAGACTCTTCCATGCTCAAAATTCTTGGGGAGGGGAAGGTCTAATTTTCAGGCTAAGCTACTTGACGCCAAACAGGCAGTAAAAAAGTGTTCCCCACTCACCATTATGTCTACAGGCAGTGTGAACTGCCGTTATAATGTTTGATTGACATATATACCCCATAAAGTGTAGCATGGGGGGAAGGGGTAGTCCACCGTAGTAGCTCAGTTGGTAGCGCGCTATTCGAAGTCCAGGTTTCGATCCCTGCCCCCACGGCATGTCGCCTTTTCATCCACTTTTTTTGCAATTAAATAACAATTACTTCTTTTAAAGACCTCTATATTCTCCTTGGCATAATTGGGTATCAGTTTCCATTATTAATGTAAACGCGAGCCCCTCAGTGTACACTTTTTTTTTGTAGGCTATGCTAGTGTGGAACCTGATTTGATCACGCCCCATTTTCGATCTGTTTCGGTTGTCACGGGATGCGACTTCCGTTTGGGCGTTCACTCAGCAACCAAAACTTGAAACGTCCGTATAAACTAAGCGCGAGCCAACTCAAAGAAGATCCAATACGGGTACTACTGCAACATGCTGGTGACAGCCAAAAAGAACATGAAAGACGTCGCGCGGACGTCAGTTGACAAGGACGTTCCAGAAAATGTTGCGTCCACAGAAGACGCACTGGAAATACGATCATTAAGGAAAGTACGTGCACTATAATAGTTATATCGCACGCCGCAAATTAACCAATAAGTGTGACGTTGTGTTTCTGTTTCAACCAGCTTTTCTCTGCCTCTTTCTCTGTATCTGTAACGTTCAAATATCCCCCATCCCTTTCCCCAGTGTTGGGTAGCAGACTGGTTATCCCGAACTGTTAACATCTCTGCATGAACACCCTTAAATGCCTATCTCTCTCCTTTTTCTTTCTTTCAAGCTTGTTCGCGGTTTTCATCGGGGAAAAAATAATTATTTCTTTCATACGCGCGCAGGTGCCCAATTCACCACCGTTACTTTCGCACTAAGAGTCAGACGTCGAAGTTGATGAATAAGCGCAAAGATCTCTTTCCTGCCTCAGTGACGCCATGAAGTAGCTCACTTGTTGAAGGTCACAGTGTGCGTTATATCATGTGGTATTTAAAATATGTTTCCATGTCATCTTTTGCCTGCAGGGGGCGAGTTCTCGCAGATCAGGATTGAACCCTGCCCTCAGCTGCCCTGCCATTTCAAAAAGGGCAAGCCACTCAAGCTTCAAGTGGACTTTGTCGCTGGTTTGTATCGTCTTTGTCATCTACGCTGGGGCACTAGGGCTCCGTGACCCCAAAAAGCTTTCAGTAACTCGGTATAACTACTTTGTTACTTTTTACGAAAACGTACAGTCAGTAATTAATAAAGACATAGTATACTATAGAGATGGGCGACTTTAGTGACAAAGTAGGCAAGACACGGTCCGGAGATCATGCATTAGGGGAATATGGCATGGGCTCTATAAATTCTGGAGGGGAGTTATTAGTATCGTTCACAAAACGTAACAATTTACTGATCTTGAATACTTTCTAAAGAAAATGGGCTAACCGTAAGCGGATGTGGCGGAGTCCTAATGGCGAAACTAAAAACAAAATAGACTACATTATGTGTACTCACCCAGGCATTGTACAGAATGTAGAAGTAGTTGGCAAGATCCAATGCAGTGGCCATAAAATGGCAAATGTTCAAATTCTTCTAGATTTAAAAAATAAAAGACATGAACTGATACGCAAGGAGCTAAATAATTAGCCAGCTATGAGAAAGAAAGTACAGAATTTCCAAGTTTTGCTTCAGAATGGATCCGCGGTTCTACGTGACGTAACCAACATTAGCGCTGACACTAACAAGGATAATCTGATTAGTATTAAGGAATAGTGTGCAACGTAAATTGGAGGCACAGTCACTAGCAGGATACTGGCGAAGTATCCCAGGAGACGAAAAATCTGATTAAAAGACGACCAACCATGACAGCCTGAATTGCAACCGACAAAATATAGCTAGTGGACCTTTCGAAGTCATTCAATAGGCTTAAGGTAGGCGACATCAGAACATAGAGAGAATCGAGCTAACTGTAAAAAGTGGCAGAAGCCTAAAATCTAGAAAGGCAAACTTGTGCAAGGGCGAAAATTGGATATATACATTAGGAGACAAAAAAGGCAATTCATAATCAACATGAATAGGTTAGTTGACAGTGCGCCAGATTTCAAAAGAGAGCTGTACAGAAGCCGAAACAACCTGGATGCTCTGCCACAGTGATCTAGCGGCTAAGGTACTCAGCTGCTGACCCGCAGGACGTGGGAGTAAACCCCGGCAGCGGCGGCGGCATTTTTGATGAAGGCGAAAATGCTGTAGGTCTATGTGCTCTGATTTGGGTGAAGAGCCCCAGGTGGTTGAAAATTTCGGAGCCCTTCACTACAGCATTTCTCGGAATTATAGGGTGCTTTTGGGACGTTAACCCCACATATGAACCAATCGAAACAACCAGGATGGTATTGTAAGAAGCGGTGATAGCACAGGGAAATTCGACATCCTACCGGTAACGACAAAAAAAGTGATGAAAGCCCTCGAAGAAATAAAAAAGGCAAAGCCACCAGTGAGGATAACGTGGCAATGAACCTGCTGAAAGATAACGGAAAAAATGTGTTAGAAAAACTGGAACCTTGTGAACAAAATGTCCCTTGACGGGGAGCGTATCAGAACCTTGAAATAATGCCAACATCGATCTTAATGTATAATAAAGAAGGCATCAAGGACTTGCAAATTTACAGGCCGATCAGCTTACTGTCCGTTCACTACAAACTATTTGCGAATAATTAGGGGACCCTAAAGCTTCGCCTTTAGGAGTTGAACGAGATTGCGACATCCAGTTCACAGTACGTACTTCCAACTCTTAGTGCAAGAAACCTGTTCGAATTTGCTGTGCATTAACTACGTGGCCTTAAGAGATCATGTGAAGTCGCGTGGTGGCCTTTTGTAGTGGTGTACCAGCTTTCAACCACGGAGCCATTACAATAATCATATATTCTAACGCCCGTTGGCAATGGACGCTTGACTATGCATTATTACTGCGATATTTCATGTTGCATTGTGAAGCCTATATATACAGCACGCGCGCGTTTGTGAAGCATGGAAGCTAGTTTCAGTGCCTTTCCAAGCAGAGGAAGTTCTTTTCTCTGTTCTCACAAGCAGAGGTGTGACCATGTGGTGGAACATCCACTTGACACGCAGACGAACCGTGTTCAATCTTTACTAGCACCCCAAGAACCCTGGTTAGGTTTCCACCTTGCTACTGGGTTCGGATCATTTATTTATTTTATTTGCATCGTTCTCGACTTTTTGGTCACGCTTAATATGATGAGTTTTCGTTCACAATTAACGGCAGCGACGCCAACGCCAACACAATAATTTCTGCGAAACAAGCTCTTTAACGCTATCGCGTTCATACTGTATCTACCATAATTTGGACGACGTTAGAGTTTAGTCAACCAAAGCACCGAGCAGGATTCTGTACCGGCTACTCCCCTCTAGACCATATTCATACTACTAATCAGGTAATAAAAAATGCGCGGAATGCAAAAAATCCTTATACATAGCATTCATAGATTACGGGAAAGCGTTTGGCTTGGTTCAACGACTAACACTACATAAACCTACAGATAGCGATCTACACTAAATCCACAGCAACCATAGTTCTCCATAAAGAAAGCGACAGAATCCCAATAAAGAAGGGTGTATGGCAGGGAGAAACTATTTTTCAATACTATTCACCCTACTCACCATGTTTCGCTCTGTCGAGACACCAGCAGTAATGCAGGAAACACGAAATCAGCGCATCGACGAACACTACATAAACATACTGAAAAGAATCTACAGCAGATCTATAGCAACCATAGTTCTCCATAAAGAAAGCGACAGAATCAAGGGTGTATGGCAGGGAGACGCTATCTCTCCCATACTATTCACCGCATGTTGACAGAACGCTTTCAGGGCCCTAGATTAGAAAGAGTTAGGAATCAGAGTTAATGGAGAGTATTTTATTCACCTGAAATTCACTGATAATATCGACTTGGTTATTAACTGAGGGGACAAATCACAGCTCTTGATTACCAAACCTGACATGGAAAACAGACAAGTAGGTCTGAAATTTTATATGCATAAAACATAATGTGCAACAGTCTCGAAAGGTAACAGCAGTTTCCGATAAGTGGAGAGACGTTGGAAGTACAAAAGAAATGTGTCTACTTAGGACAGGTAGTAACCGCGGAGCCAAACCATGAGAGTTAAATAACTAGAAGAGTCAGGGTGGCGTGGATTACATTTGGCAGACATTCTAACATTCTCAAATTATGAATGGTAGTGTGCCACTAACCCTGAAGAGTCAGGTATACTACAGCTGCTTCTTACCGGTACTTATTAACGGAGGGTTCAGCTTAAAGGGGGTTCAGCTTAAAGTGAGAGCGATGCAGCAAGCGATGGAAAGGAAAATGATATGTGTAACCTTAAGAGACAATGCAGGAGAGTGCGTCAGGGATCAAACCAGGGTTCAGGATATCATAGTTGAAATCAAGAAGAAGGAATGAACATGCGCCAGACAAGTGGCGCGTAGGCAGGTTAGCCACTGTTCATTCAGGATAATTTGCTAGATTCCCAGAGGAGGTGAACTCACGAGGGGAAGAGCAAAAGTTATGTGGCCCAATAATATTAAAAGTTCGCAGGTAGAACGTGCCAGCAGAAACCCCATGACCGCTTTGATTGTTGGGTCATGGGACAAGCCTTTGCCTTGCGGTGAACGTACTCAAGCAGATGATGACTCGTTTTAGGTACAGTGCACCTTATGGGTTCTGGCTTTGCGCGTCTTCATGCACCAGTCTTAAAGCGTATTGTGCCATCGTAGCCTTGATGTGAAGGTGTGTCCTGCCATTGACCCTCTTGGTAAAGCAAGTGGCAAGTAAGACGGCACTTTGTCGCTGGAAAATCTACCGAGAATGCATGCTCACCATGAGAGACAACACCACCTGTAATTCTACGAGTGTACATAAGACAGTGCGTCGGCTTAGGAGAAGCACTGTTTTTGTTTCCGTGGTATATGCTGTCTGCGATTGGCACTGGATGTTGTCTCACCGCTTGTCGTCTCACCGCAATTGACGTGTTGCTGCGGGAAACACCCGTTCTTCACAGATGCCCGAATTTCCCATTAGTTGAGCTTTTTTTCACAGCCTAGTCATCTAAGGAAACATCAATATTTAACAGCGATCTAAATTGTGAAGACACTCTTGATGAGTTTTTGCCGTCATCGTCACCGCCATGTACCATTTAAAGTACAAACCGACAAAATCGCCTCCGGCATCGTATGTTGTTCTTGTGAGTGGAAGCATGCGAGCGCTTGAAACTAATGTGGCTGAAGCTGGGAAGAAACGAACCGCCCATTCCATCGCACAGAGAGCGCATGCAATAACAGCATCGCATGTGCAATGGCTGCCTTCCATTGCTCCTGTAGCAGAGAGGAAACGCCAAGCATATCTTGAAGGGGCGTGAAGTAGCGCTGGAAGAGGTGTGGAGCTGCGCCACCACTTCATGTTCAGATGAGTCACTGCACGAAAACCGTTTCTCACCTTGGAACGGTCTTATTGCCCTACACTAAGGCATTGCCGGGGTATACGTATGGTACAACCCAAGGAAGGTAACTGTTATAGCCATACTACAATATAGCATCCCACTTAGTTGTCATCGCATCGATTATTTCGACCTTGGGACGAAACGGATTCATTTCTCTGTATTTCGTTATACGCGCATGCTTCATCACGCTTAACACGAGCGTCACGCAGCCTGACCTGGACTGCGACATGTATACACTGACGCCAGAGCCACGAAGTGTTTACAGATATCTTTGCGACGATTAACATATAGCTGGGGGCTGTCGATAGTGAGCGAAGATGGTCAGACATAAGCGAAAGAGCAGTCGATCAGTCAAATCAAGCTAAACATAAGCTGTCGTAAACTACCGTGAACATATGCAGATATATTTTCAACGCTATACTGTTAGTCCAAGCCGGTTAAGGTCTTGTTGCGAAGCGTTCATATTAAGCATTTTGACGGCTCTTCGTGTTCTCGGTCTACTCGGATACGATAGACGCATCCCATGCGGCTGCCTCATGTCCTAAATATTTTTGTTTTATTCAGAAATAAAATCACATCATCAAAAGTGTTTCAACTCTGGTGTGAAGCTTGTCCGACCTTTAAGAATTCGCATATATATGGTCACTTGTAGGTTTATTTGTCTTTCAACCGCATTCAACCTGCTGGGCTGTTCTAGAAACCTTTAGAAGTTTGCCTGGTTCCTTGTATGCAAAGAACTGCGTAAACGCGTTCACTGAAAGCAGCTCATTGATTGATATTTGGTGTTTAACATCTCAAAAGCACGATATGATTATTAGAGACGCCGTATTGAAGGGCTCCGTAAATATCGACCACCTGGGGTTCATTAACGTGCACCCAAATCTGAGCACACGGGCCTACAGCATTTCCGCCTCCAACGGAAATGCACCCGCTGCAGCCAAGATTCCATCCCGCAACCTACGAGTCAGTAGCCGAGTATACCTTAGCCACTGGACCACCATTGTGGGGTTCCACAGAAAGATCCTGCGTGTACAGCAATATACCGGGTTCTTGAACAAATGCGTCAAAATTCCTGAAAAAAACGAAAAATAACGATATTTTCTCGACTCCTTCAGAATTTTTTTTTCTGTGACGGCAGCCATCTTAACATAAACGCATCTTCTGTTATAATAATAAAGAAAGTCAAGTTAATCAACTCTTTGACGGGAAACTTAAGTTCTTCACGCGAACAACCCACCGTAGCTTTGACAGATAAAAAAACCGGCCTCCGCTAATGATTGTGGGATAATGAAACTCAAGTTCAATGACTTTAACCTTTGAACTTACTTAATGTTATTGCGGCACAATATTAATAATAATAATAATATTAATAATAATAATAATAATAATAATAATAATAATAATAATAATAATAAAATAATAATAATAATAATAATAATAATAATAATAATAATAATATATAAATGATAGTTTCAGTGTGGTTATCAATCTGTGCAGTGTAATTTCGTTCTTTCTTCCTACATAAAGAGGCGGTCTTTACTGTAATCACTAGGCGAGGTCTACATTTATTTCTATGTTCTTTTGGTCACTCCATTGTTCTCTCAATATCTCTGGACGTTATGGGAAACAATTTCATGAAGAAGTTTCTTAGTTTCGTAGGCAACTGTCTACGAATATTCAAAACTGAAATCGCACATTATGGCTGTAATTTCTGAGTGCTTGATGAATGACCTACACTACAGTTTAACAATACAATGTACAAATTAATTTATTTATTCGAGGCATCAGCGTGGTGCAAGGAAGACCGCTTTTTAATAGAGTACCAGAGAGATAGTTCTGTCAGTTAAATACCTGAGAGATACTTTTTTCAGATATTTTGCCACCGCTAAGCTACAGTGGTTACGGTGCTCGGCGGTTGATCCGTAAGAGGTGGGATCGATACGGGCTGCTGTGGGCACATCTAAAATGGAATCGATCTGCAAGAGGACGATGTACCATATGACGTCAGCAGACGTTAAAACTTCCCGGGTAGTCAAAACTTTGTTTTCAAATTTTTGTGAAGAGAGAACAGTCTAACGCATTCAGAATAGTTTGTCGTTGCTTTGGTAGAAGACTGAGACGCCCGTGTGCTGAAATAAATATCTAACGCCTTCTTTTCGCTCGTGTACAGCCGAGAGCTTCCAAAAACTGGAAATGAAGCTTCGAGGCGAGCTCAGCAACAAAGTGTGGTTGCCGTTCCCTGGCTTCCGCAAGAACGCCTGCAAGAACAGCGGCCTCACGTGCCCACTGGAGGTCGGCAAGTCGTACACGCTACAGTCCACGCTCAACGTCCTCTCAAGTTTTCCATCGGTATGACGTATTTTTGGTGCAGTGACGCTAGGGTAAAACAAGAGCACATATTCGGCGGCTGTTCGCTCATTTTGATCTTTTCAGTTCATGCGTTGGTTGCTAAATAGGTGAGCTACTGGATGGAAAATAGTTCCAAAAATATGACGTTATCTAGTGATTTGCTAGTCTTCCATAACGCAGCTGGAAAAAAGCTCAAGCTTTTAATGTTTTCCCAGTTGGCCACAATTGATCAAAACATATCATGTAATAATTTTATGAATGCTTTCTGACTTCATGAAAAACTACATGGAGGTGAGAGGCCTTTTCATTTACAGCAATAACCTTGAAATTTCAAGCCCACGTGAGTTTAAGCCTTAGGCTACCTGTTCAGAAAGTCACCATTCAGAAAGCACGCCAAGTTGTTCAGAAAATAGGTCATGAGAAATGAAATGAACATGTGTTGTAGTATTGAACTATAAATGCAGCGGTGCAATATTACTACGCTATTTCATTCAAAGTAATAAAGGGGTAATGTTGCTAACTGAAGAGAAGCATTCTTAATTTGTTTTACAGCTGGTAATGCAGCTTTTATTTAGTAGGAGATGTTCTTTCGCATGTAGCCAATTTATCGTGTAATGATTTTATATTCTTATGAATAAAGGCATATTCCAACAATTCTGAGCACAATAATAATAGAATCTAGCAGACAATCATGTCATGTTAAAGAAAAGACGCGTTATTGAAAGTAATTTTGATTTACTTGTGAAGAAAGAGAAGTAAACGAAGATAACTTGCCGTGGGCAGAGACCAAACCTACAACTTCAGAATAACTCTACGAACTGACTTATCCCCCCATTCGCCTTATGGGCTGTATATGTGGTTTAAACACAGGAGCGTGAGTCAGTGGCGCCAGTAGCCATGAGTGCGCGTGTGGAACAGTCTTTTTCTGCCTGTTTGCCGTCACGTAGCACGCGATCATTTTACGAGTTATTACATAATAATATTACAAGCGAGCTTTTTATCCACGTTTTATTTCTTCAGATTCGCATTACATTTACATCGAATAACATCCGCTATACTTTCCTTGGCATGACTGTCTGTTAGATCTCAGTATTATTGCGCCTAACAAAGAAAACGAGCTCTCAAACGTACCTTTTTCTTCATTCATACTGAGGGTCTCGTTCTAGCAGACTTGGTGCTTTTTGGTAGTACGCAAGGGAATATTTTTAAGCTGCCAGTTCGTATTAAAATCACTTGCTACGTGACACCAAACAGGCATAAAAAAGTGTTCCATTTTCGCCCACATGGCTACTGGTGCCTCTGACTGATGCCCCCGCGTTTAATGCACATATATGCCTTCTAAAGAAGACCGCGGGATAGCCGCCATGGTAGCTCAGTTACTAGAGCATAGGACGCGTTACTCAAAGGTTGCAGGTTTGGTCCCTGCCAACGGAAATTTATTTTTTCATCCCCTTTACTTGAAATACCAATCCCTCTTCTTTTTTGGCATGATTTTCTGTTATAGTCCAGCTGGTATGACAGTTTTCTCAGCTGGAAAGGATTGTATATACTTACATCTCTATCTCACCATTGTCATCCATTACTCTTTCTCTTCCCTTTTCCCCTCCATCATTGCAGAGTAGCGGGCTAGAGCAGGCTGACTTTCCGTAAATAAACCTGTCTCATTTTCTTTGTCCGTTATATCTCAATAATATTGTTTTTAGCAAAGAAAACGAGCTCTAAAACATTGCTGAATAAAACACAAACGTAATGAATGAACCCCAATTTGGTGAAACAAGTCAGAGGACGGCACGCAGAATATACAGGAAAGCAATGTGTCTTGTGTATACCGGACAGCACGGTGTACTGTTTGGCCACATTGTTCATACATCAACTAATATACCGAAAAACCATTGTGAACCAAACCTCAATGGCGCTGTTTTTAGAAGCAGCGAAAGAACTCTATAGATAACGTGAAAGACAGAAACTAGGTGAGCTCGTACAAATGACAAGGACGTAAGAAAACAAACAACTGTAAGGGAGTTTCCTGAAATTGTCTATAGAAATATGAAAATTTCTAACTGGTGAGGTGTACGACATTTCATTAGTGACAAACCTGGTATACCAGGTTTGCCACTATAGGTGGCTATAGCCAAACGTAAGGCGATATTGTAAGGTGCAATGTTTGAAAAATGAAATAAGCAGAAATAAGTAGTGCACCAGTAAAGAAGTAACACGGAAACCAGGCATTGCAATAATCAAGAGGTAAGCAAGATATACAGGTGAAAAATAAGAAGGCAATGACTGACAAAGGGATCCTAATGTAGTGAGCAAACGATCTTATACTCACCTGTACAGCACCTAAGAAGCCATGCAAGCTTGATTAAAATAGTGATTAACATAGCATAAGAGCTCCTAATATATCTAGTGATGAGGCTAGGTGGCCTCTTAACAGTTCAACAAAAATGCACAAAAATGTTGGTATATCATCGTGATAGTTTTCATATAAGGTCCGGTTACTTTGCTTGGAAATTCTTACTCTTCAGGTGCAACGCGTCACGACTTCAAGTGTGTCAGAGAGATTGAATACTTTCATTTGTAAGACATTTATGGTAAAGACACATAAACAAAAGTCACTTTTTATAGAGTGCAGGCACCGCTTTATTTCAACCAACCGAGTGAGCGGGGACGCTTCAGGAAGGGGTAAAAATAACGTATCTCATCCATGCCCACACCAAGGTGACAAAAAAATCAACAAAGTGTGACCAGCCTTTTCGTGTTGCTGAAGCAAATTGCGAAAGAAAATGCATTTCATCTAACATAGGGATTTGTAGAGATAAAGCTACATAGAATGAGAGGCCATGTATTTCATAGGACAACCATGCGAAGGTACGGGAGAGACCCAATAATAGTACCAAGGGAAAGGAAAGCACTCGTATTGGAAAATGGAGCAAATTGCGATTTGTGAAGTTACTGATAATTTAGCGGGTATCTCCTAAAACTGAATAAATAACAAAAGAATCAGCTGGTTTCATAGGTAATAGGAATAAAGAACGCAAATAGGCCAACTTGTGTTAACATCTACATAAATTTATAAATATCATTCATATTAACCCAAAGCTCCTTCTGCGCAGGTGGACGCCAACGTGGAATGGAGCATGAAGGGAGACAACAAGACAATTTTTTGTTTTCTCGTGCCTGTCAAAGTTGTCGATTAAGCTTTACGTATTTTTCAAAAGTACCAGTTATAATCGGCTTTAAGGCTTTCTAGTGGAGAACTTTTCAAAACGCCCACTTGTAAGCTTTGCGAGCGTTTAAGTAGCCGCTTACAATCATGCCGATTGTATGTGGCTCAATTGCGACTCCTGCAATATGCTCGTCAGCGAGGTTGCTATTTGAGGATGTTGATTTGCCAATGTGGGTATACTATTGAGCATTAAAGAATCGGACACAACGAGAGACGATGTAACACACAAGGCGCAAACTTTAACAGCCTAATTTGGAGAACAGTGACCATTTTTTTACTAGACGTGTAGAAAGCGCATGTCTTGAAGATCACCATCTAACACGTGTACACCCACTCTAAAAGGCAATTTCTTTGACTGGCAATGCTATGGAAGCCTCACTGGCGCACCTCTTTTACAGTTTTGAGATATTATGTGATTCTATAATAAAGAGCGTCGCTTCTATTCTACTTATTACAATTTCTATGAACTTTTTAACATATGCAATCTCTGAAATGATTGGCTAACAAGCCGCCTGACTGATTTTAACTTTATTCGAATGCTCGTGCCACCTGTCGTTAATGCAACGACCTGAATTCTCTACATAATTAGCTTGGAAGTTAAAGGTATGTGGTACAAACTACTCTAAGCTTCGACTTCAAGAGTTGAACGCCATGGCGATTTCGTATTCCTAAGGCCCCGCCACGGTGGTTTAGTGGCTAAGGTACTCGGCTGCTGACCCGCAGGTTGCGGGATTGAATCCCGGCTGCAGTGGATGCATTTTCGATGGAGACGAAAATGCTGTAAGCCCGCATGCTCAGATTTGGGTGGACGTTAAGAACCCCTGGTAGTCAAAACTTCCCAAGCCCTCCACTACGGCGTCTCTCATAATCATACGGTGGTTTTGAGACGTTAAACTCCACATACCAAATTATCAATAATGCACACCTTTGAATGTATGATGTTGCTCGAGAAGTTTAAATTGTGAATTACTGCAGTGCCATCAATAAAGTTGAAAGTTGCTTGTGTCAATACAGCTTTCGATATGGCTGCCTCCAGTGTTAGGTTTGGTTTGAAGCACGAGAAACTATGCACGTGAAATGTTTTCGAACTTGCTATGCACCCACTACGGAGTTTTATGGGAATAAGCGCAGTAACATGTGTGCCTTTTGCACTGGGTGGCCGGCTTCAAACCACGAAGTCGTTATAATAATAACTTGTTCCGACGCCCGATGGCAATGCACGTTTTAAAACGCGTTATTACTGCAACATTACATGTAGTATTGTGAAGCCTGTGTACAGGACGCGTGTGTTTGTAATGCCTGCATGAACAGTTTTTCACTGCATTTCTAAGCAGAGTAAGTTATTTTACGCTGTTTGTTCGAGCCAATGCGTGGCTGTGTAGTAGAAAACCTGCTTGCCACACAAAAGATCTCGATTCGATCTTTACTTGCATCCGGAAATTTCATTATTTTATGTGCATGTATCTCGAGTATTCGGTTAAGGACAGGCTGAATTTCTGCTCACTACCAACTACGCTGACGACAGCGCCGGATTTTCCGCGAAAAGATCTATTTAACACTATCAGGTTGAAACGCCGGCCAACTTGCCTGATGCCTTTATTCCGGTTCATAAAACCATTTTAAGCACTCAAATGCCTTAGACATGTTTTTCAAGTTCTCCTATTACTTATGTAAAGGACGGTCACAGAATAGACAAGGGTCTAGTCTCGGTTTTAGGGATGCGATGAAGGATTTTACGCTCGGCGTATGTGAACTTTATCAACGTTTTTTCTCAGACATGCAGACAAACCTAGGCTCTCATTGATCCTTCGACTGACAAACTACCTGTTTTGCTTAGCGTGGCTGGTTTGAAAGAAGACACCTGCGGACAATAGCGATTTCAGTGCCGATCTAGTTTGAGAGCGTTATCTTGTAGAAAGAGTATGCCTATTAACGGCATAGTATTGTCATCGTGAATTAAGTAGTTATTGAAAAAACTACAAAATTATTCAAAGAGCAAACAAAAAAATAAGTACTCGAATCTGAGTTTTTTTTTTTTTTTGTAAAGCGTGCATTTTTTTATCAGTTTGTGTTTTATATTGTTTTGTATATTTGCTACGCTACATGCTTAATAGAAGCATTGTGGTTCGCTGGCAAATGCAGGTAGCTTCGCAATTATGTACTTGCGTTTATCGATATAGGGCTATGTAAGAAACCGCGGCCATTGTCACGCACTCCAGCCTCTATCTCCGGTTTTTTCCTTGTATGAGACGAAAATAAACTTCACTTTAGGAGAGTTCTACGGACTGGTGCTGGCCCCATCACCCCTGTGTAACACCTCAGGGCTTCTGCAACCACTACGAGGTGCTTTGTCCTGACTAGCTTTTACGGTAGCCGACAGATGCTGTTCGGTATGCTCCGAGGTTCAAACGCAACAAGTCAATGGCGTCGGGGTGAGCATATAGAATGATAAGCTGAACATGCCAGTTAAAATATCGCCATTCGTTCAGCTTGCACTAAGTCGCGCAAGGCTGAGTCACAAGAGACCTGGTGGTGCACTTGTGTAGTACATTCGAGCTCTTCGACACCAGACCAAAATGACCGGTAGGCTTGGAGAGAAATTGTCGTCTCAGGTGCACGCCTATGGCCATGTCGTTGGGAACCAAGCGGCCCAGTGCCTGGACCTTCTACGTTAGTGGGAGCATTTATCACCTGGCCTCGAATGCTGTACGGGTCAAAGGGTACAGCGTAATATAGAAAGGTGTGGGAAAGGGAAATGCGTGTAAGAAGGGAAGATGTGAGAGTGAGAACGGAAGTGGACGAGAAAACGAGTTTAGTGACTGAAAGAAAAAAGAAATAGAAAGGAAGCGAATGACAGAAATAGAAAAAAAAGAGGGAATAAAAGGATAAAATTACAAAGATGGCGCGAAAATTGGCCCCGAATCTGCATGTTACACTGAATATGTCATCGAAAGACGATGGTCTTGTGTCTGGAGAGAGTGAACAAAACGTTTATTTGATGTTCTACGCAAGAAAATTGGTGACTGGTATTCTGCAGGTGCTGCGTTAGTGCCTCGAGCGTGTAGTGGAAGCGAACGAATGCATCGAGGCACGTTAGATACGAGCGCCATCTGGCAGTTTTAAAACGAAGGAAGGCGTGCGCGCCCGCGGAGAAAGATGCGCGCTTGTCAAGGATGTCAAGGTGTAGAACGCAAAGCGACGGGCAGGTGTCACCACCGTGTCATTTTAGCAAAGCGTTGGAAGCACTTTTTTGAGCATCGCGTTTCACTGTCAGCGCAGCGTGATGAACACTATGGTCCTTAGAATTACTTGTGTGTGCCTTCTCTATTACGAAGGCACACATACAAAACATCGACGTGTTGTTATGAAGCCTCAGATATGAGCGACAATTGCTTTTTAATTGACAATCACACAAGTATGAACGCTGAGTCTTGAGGAATATTGGTGGGCGCTGCGGATGGGGTTGGCCGTTTGGTGCCGTTTGAGGTATCGGTAAGGGCGGACAAACAGACAAATGTACAGACAGGCAGACCGACAGACAGACCAAACTTTTTCCGTAGAAGGTCCCCAAGAAAGACTATCGTCTTTGAAAAATGAAGGAAAAGATAGAAAAACGAAGAAAAAAAGTCAGAAAAGCAGGAAGCAAGCATGTATCGCCGGTATGGCAGCGGGTGCAAACAGAGAGCAGAGAGGGTAAAAGCCTGGCCTAGCTAGGTATAGCAAGCTTCTCGCCAGCCCTGCTGTAACTCAGCTTGCATGATGTAGTACTAGCTGCGCTATATATTGCGACAAAAATACCTATGCATATTACGCAAACTACACTTCATAAGCGTTAACTTTTAAACAGGTATTTTAAAGTCAGTGTAAGAACGCGTGTCGGGAATCAGTTTCTCATAACAGCATTTTTTTGCAGTCGTACATTACTCGATAATGAAATCTCTTGAACATCCAGAGATTCACCCTTATTTGGCTTAGTGATTTTGATGGCACAAACTGTATCACTTGCTGCACACTGCTAGAAAGAAACTACCTCACCAAATTGTGTTTCCGGCTGCATGCATTGAAATTTGTGTTGTCGTCTCTCTGTCTGGCTATAAATTCTAAGGAAAAATTATTCTTACATTCTAGCCGATACTTGTGTTTCCGCCACAAAACATGACTTTTCATTGCAGTAACTTCAACATTACCGCGTTTTGTCACACAGCAATAAAAATTAATAGTGTGAAGAAAACTCGCACGATCTCTTATAAAGTCTTCTATGATGACCTGAGGGCAAAATCTATTCTTTTTTTGTCACTCGGAAAATTAATTCTTCCCCCCCCCCCCCCCCCCCAACGCAAAGGCTGTGCACCTAACATGGTTTCGCATGGTCCCCAGTAGCGCATTGGTAATCTGCAGAACGCTCAAGGCATAACAACAACAGGGGCTCGCTATTGGCTACACTTTTGCAGGCACGCGCAACGACTTGCCCCTAGCAACGGCCCCCGCACTCTACTCTCGTTTCCAGGTTGCTTCCGCAAAGCGCGCCGGCCAAAAATGGAGGAATAATACTACCCCCTGCCCTACGCTTTTTTTACGCGCGAAACGTTTGGCGCCTGTATGTCGTTGTTTCTTTGTGGGGGTCAATATAGGAAACACGATGTTTCGTGGACCTTTGTTTCTGGTAGTAACAGTTCGGAAAGAGTTGCAAGTTTAGTGCGTAGTTTGACTGTAATGCTGCAGTGGTACTGTACCAACGAGCATTTGGTCTGATGGTTCGCCTGCCTGTCGAGATATCTAAACGCGTTTTGCCTCCATCGAGGAACGACAAATTGCCACACTTCACAAAAGGGAAGTATTGTAGGAAAGTCAAGAAGAAAACAGGTACTGTGTTCTACGCATCTACATGTGAATTTCCGTCTGTCGTGAGCACTTGTATGGTGTTCGTGCTCGTCAACAACAAGCACTCACATGCTAGTGCCCGCGAGATCTGCAGAAACTAGCATTCATCTAGTGAGGTTAAACTACATTTGTGCTTGTGCTCTTTTGCCGTGCACTTAAAAAAATAAATACCCAGCGTTATAATTCAGGCCAGCGTTCTGTTCTTCCCTGGGAATCAACTTTTATTAAGTATACGCTGGTGTGAAGTTATTAAAACAAGCACGAGGGAGGTGGTGGCAAGCCACTCGAAGAGCTCCGTTCAAAGACTCCTTCTCAGGATGGCCGACATTCCCCTCGCTGTGAGTCTATCTGTTGTGTTGTTTATTCCAGCATAGAACAACTATCCAGTGAATTAGGGATCGTAGGTAAGCAAGTACTTCTTTTTAAAAACAATTTGTGCCCCAGAGAGTTTTGTACTGAAATACATTACTGCATGCATGCATTAGCTTGAACTTGTTATTTGTCAACTCGAAGTCTCTAAGCACGCGACGCCGTTTACGTTAATTTCCAGATAAGGTCACTTCCACCAACTGCAATTGCTTCCACCACAAGCTTTATATTTTAAGCGATCTGTGACAATAAAGGCAATTCTTCAACATCAGAAGATTAAGCAACATCCTTTATTCTACATTTTTCAAAATACCGTCACTTTTATAAAACTTATTAAACTATGTGTTAACAATGCTTAACCATTCGCTTCTAGAGATGCAGCCTATCCTTTTATGTACCTTCTTACTCAGACTTGGAGAACATGGGGTGTTCCAAAATAAACCCATAGGTTTCGTTCAGCAAGTGGTTTTCTGCAATATTCGCCCTAATATAAAACAGTTTTGACAGCCTAAAGAAAGCATTCTGCCACCTAGATTACCTTGAGATCCACACCGTATTGTGGCTGAACGAGTTTTTTATTGCCCGTGATGCTCCGTGGTAATGCATTAATTTTGGCAACTTGGAACAAGAAGGCCTTGATGAAAGTGGCTCAGCGCGGGGTGCCCAGTTAAACCAAGAATAGTGGTATGCGTAACACTGTTGAACATTTTATGCGCTGGTTAGAAGAAAAAAAGCAAAAAGCGGCTGGAAGCAATGTGA